CTCGTCTTGGCCTTGGAGTCCACCAGGCGGCCGCTGATACCAAAGTCGCAGAGCTTGATCTGGCCCCGCTCGTCCAGCAGGATATTGGAGGGCTTGACGTCACGGTGGATGACGCCGTGCTTCTCCTTCAGGTAGTACAGCGCCTTCACGATCTGCGGTGGGGACGGGAGGCGCCGTGAGGGGTCTGGGCCTGGGGCTGCCCACCCGCTACGCGAGCCCTGCCCGGTGCTCACCGCCACCGTCATCTTGCCCAGGATGCGCTCGGGGATGGGGCCCTGCATCCGCTTCTTCAGCTTCTCGGCGCACGTGCCCATGAGCTCCATGGCGATGAAGACGTCGGTCTGCGGAGGGAGGGCGGCACCGTGGCTGGGACAGCCCCCCAGGGCCGGGGAGCATGCAGGCCCTGTGGGCACGGGCGGGCGGGCGGCTCACGTTGGTGATGAAGGTGCCGAAGCACTGCACAATGTAGGGGCAGTCGTGGCTCTTGAGCACCACGTCCAGGTCCATGAGGATGCGCTTGTTCTCCTCCTTGTTCCCCGAGCGCCGCATTTGCTGTGAGGGTCAGGAGGGGACACTCAGGGCCCAGCCAGGAGCGGGGGACCCCACCCCGAGGGCAGGGCCAGGGCTCACCTTGACGGCAATGACGTGGCCCGTCTTCCGGAAGCGCATCTTCCACACCTGCCCACAGGTGCCACTGCCCATCTCGCCCAGGTTCTCCAGGTCGTTGATCTCTGCCTGGTAGCGCTGGCAGGGACAGCACAGGCTGGAGGGTCCCGGGGCCTCTGCTGCCCACACCCCAGCCCAGCCCGGCCGTGTCCTGCCCTCACCCCACCACGGTGCTCAGCAGCGGTACCTGGCCCCCGATGGTCAGGTAGCCTGTCTGCTTCATGATCTCCTGCAGCTTCTGGTCGATCTCAATGCTGGGGGACAGAGAGCAGGAGCCAGTGGAGGGGATCCTGACCAACTGGAGGCGGGCCCAGCCCCCAGTGGGCTCCCACAGACCTCCCCACCCCAGGGCCAGCAGTGCTCCCCAACCCGCCCTTGCCATTTGGCCCCCACTCACCTCTCCATGCTGCGGGGCGTGAACAAGGTGGATGGGAGCCCCAGCATGTGGCGGGGCCGAGCGGGGGGTGTGGGGTGCTGCGGGGGACTCTCCGAGGATGGTGAGCGGCTGGCCCCATCATTGGCCAGCGGGAGCTGCAGGGCTGGGGGGTTGAGAAACGGGGTGGGAAGGGGGTTAGCAACTGGCTGGACAGCTCTGGGCCTGGCATTTTGGGGAGGATGGGACCCCCTCCCCCCGTATACCTCAGCCAGACTGGCAAAGCCCCCTGCTCTGCCGGAGGATAGGCCCCCCCCAAGGCCTTCCTCAGGGTGCCTCCTCCTGTCCTGCTGACCTGGAAGGAGATGGGGTGGGCTACTAGGGGAGGAATGGTCCCCTGGGGCTAAAGGTTTGTCCTCAATTTCACAAGGTGGGCACCTGAGCCAGGTGGACTCCCTGGCTGTCCCTTCCAGGAGGTAGGCCAACGACCACAGTGCCCGCATGGGGCTGTGCCAGGACGGATGGATGCCCGCCAGAACAGCGTGGGCCCTGGCCCTGCTGCTGGCACTGAACTGAGTGGCCAAACACAAGTGAGGCCCACCCGGGAGACAGTTAACGTGGGACCCTGGCTTCCGGCTGCCTTGCTCAGGGAGGTTCCCCTCTGGTCAGCTGGCCCATTTATTGCTTCCTAGTCAGGTCTGCAGAGCTGGGGCCTAGGGACTGGGGGCAGGAGCCCAGGCCAGGCCTGTGAGGAGATCCGGGGTACAGCTCCACCAGGGACTGGCAGGACTGGGCAGGGAGCAGGTGCTGGGCCAGGCAGGGGATTCGGGACTCTCCAGCGGCCTGCATGCAGACAGCTTGGACATGCTACAGGCGGGCGGGTGGGCAGCAGGCACCCCAGGACGGGCAGGCAGTGTTAGGAGTACAAGGGCAGGAGACAGACAAGACAGGAGCCAGGGCCTGGGGCCCAGCTGCCCCAAGTAGTGCTGCAGGGACAGGCCAGAGGGAGACAGCAGAAAAGGTTCCCCAGGGAGCTCCCCAGACAAGTGGCAACGTGGTGGGGAAGCAAGGGCAGGGGGCTGGAGCGGTTCCTGGAGGGGCCCGCCCACCACAGGCCCACTGTCCCCCAAGGCGCCAGCCTGGAGAAGCACCCTCCAAGGGTCCCCTTCCCAGGGCCCTGGGGCCTGCCGGTCCCACAGCCTTCACCTGACACCCCTCCCTTCTCTGCACACCTCTGCATTACTCTCCCTTCCCACAGACCCACAGCTCCCGGGGACAAACACTCCTTTCCCGGGGCCTGCTGCCCTGGGGACCCTGACCTCGCCCAGCGAGAAGGAGGCAGGGACCCCTGACCTGTGGTTGGATGGGGGTGCAGGTCCAGCCACCCCCATGACTTTCTGAACCTCTGCTCTGCCCCTGCCCCAGTTATACAGACCAGGGCCCTGGTAGGCTCCCAAGGGACCCTGCGCTCTCCACCACCAGCTCCCCATCCTCCTGCACCCGGGCTCCCTAGGAACTGTCCAGGTCCCGTCCCAGCTGGTACAGGGCCCCTTCGTCACATGACACCCCTCAGCTGTCCACACCTCCCTATTGGTCCCTTCCCTGAACTGTCCACCACGTCCTCTTGGGCTGCCCCAGGGCCTGCAGGAAAGGCTGCCAGCCCCAGACACCAGCGAAGGGTGGGGACCTGAGGGGGCTGGCGCAGCGAAGGGAGGGAGATCCACAGTGGCCTCGAGTACAGGGTTCACAAAGGTGGTGACATGCACGCGGCAGGTCAGGAGAGCAGAGGGAAAGTAAGGTGAAAGAGCAGAAGGTGAAAATGAATGAACGAACGAGAGTGAGAGACAGCACGGGCATGTGCCACTGACGGGCCGTGGAGGTGTAGCTGCCAGCCCGACACGTGTGCACTCGCATGCAGGCGTGCACACATACACGCGCAGGACGCTGAACTGGCCCCTCACCCCCCACACCCCAGACAAGTGTGCACGCACACACGTTGAGTCTGGGTACACACAAAGGCCTCACCTACCACACACAGCTACCCACAGGGCCAGACTTGCCTCCAATTCTGCCAACTCAGGCGCGCTCTGTCACACCCAGGAACTCACATGGCCTGGCTGCCTGACATCTCTCCCGAACTCGCTGGCACTAGCACAGGAGCCTCGGCAGGGCCACCCTACACTTCGCTGACTCCCTCCTCCCTGGGGGGCCTTCCCTGGGCAACCCCGCAGGGCCCCTCCAACCACGAGACTGCGGTCCCTATCTGGAGACGTGTTCAGCGTGCACCGTCACTGGTGTGTTCCCAGTGCTGAGAACAGGCCCGGCACACCAGCGTGTGACACCGACTGCCGAGACCTGACACCGCACCTCCCTGGCCCCACCTTCTGTGCTGCACATATGCACACCTGTGCACACCTTGTCCTCTTGGTGGGTGACAGGCTCCCCACTCACGAGGGACGCTAATTCTCCTTTTGGGAATCCAAACTGAGCCCAAGAGCAGGTGGGGAAGTTGAGAGGACTGACAGGAGGTCGGGACGGAGCCCACACAGCTGTCACAGAAAGACAGAGAGAGAAGAGACAGGACACACACAGAGCATGGGCGAGGGAGGGCATTCTGCAGCGGGGCAGCGGTTAGGTCAGTGGTGCAGATGTCCAAGCAGCGATGATGAAAAGGCTGGTACCTGCTCGCTGGGACGGGGCAGGAGCAGGGCTTAGAGTGATCACAATAACTGGATGGGAAAGGAAGAAAAAAAAACAACACCACAATAAATCACAACAGAAATGGCTGATTTGTCCAAAAGAAAAGAAATCAAATCGTAACGAGGAGGAGGGGAGGCATGAGACACCGAACTGCAGAGATGGGCAGACACTGACAGACACGGGAGGGCAGGGAGGACGGGGTGGAACTGACAGACACTGACGCCTGCACAGGCTCCTGGGCCTGCCCACCACAGCTCACCAGGCCTCGCTCTGCACTTAGAGGACCCAACCCTGTCTCATCCACGCTGGAGACAGGAAGAGCAGCCCTGCGGAGCCCAGTGGCGACCCTCCGCCCCAGGCAGCATCCAACAAAAGCAGCTCCATCTCCAGGATTTACTTCTCTGGGCCCACACGAGCCTCCTCAAGCAGGAATCCACACTGACCTGGGTCAGGAGGAGGAGGAGGGATGGGAGCGAAGAGGGGTGGGGGGTGTCAGGCTGTGAAGGTCAGGCTAGGTGACTGGGGGTCCCTAAAGTACCCAGATACGGGGGAGTGAGGATGAGGCCATGGGGTCACAACACAGGAGATAGGAGAGGGGTTTTGGGGGCCAAGAGAGACACAGAAAAGGTCATGGGGGAGGGGCGCTGGTTACAGGATGTGTGGGGAAGAGAATCCAATTCCCCCAAGCTCTGAGGACTCGCGACAGGGGTCTGGGTGGGTGGTCAGGGCGACGCCCGACCAGATGTGTGTGAAGGAGGAAGGGGGACAGCTGCTGATCCAGGATAACAAGCTGTCAGGGAGGCAAGCACCATGATGGGAGACCAGCAAAGAGTGGTGTGTGCACCCGTGTGTGTGTGTGCGCATGTGTGTACAGATACACTCACAATGGTCTCAAGTGTCCTCAGTCCAGGCGGATGTTAGTGGGGTGAGGGGACAATCATTAGGCTAGGGGATGGGTAGATGGGTGTGTATTGCTAGAGAACACATCCCTCAAGATGGTGGTACCAGTTAGTCACGGGGGTATGAAGGGGCCTGGAATATGTTCAGTGTGTGAGTGTGTGTGTCTACACAGCAAATAACAAGACAACCCCAAGCTGTGGAGAAGGACCAGCAGATATGGTGGGAGAAATAAACGAGAATCCTCGGGTCAGGCGCATGAGGCCCGAGCAAAGTTATATATAGCTTTAGGAGCTCAGGTATCCCCAGTATAGGTGTGCACTTGCGTCCACGTGGGGGGGGAGGCCCGGGTCTGACAGTCACTGAGATGGAGAGAGTGCAGTCAGGAGGTCAAAAGGGATGTCACTGTGTTTGTGGGCGGGATCTGGATGCGGGACCTGGATGCTGTCACCGTGGTGAGAGGATGTGTCCCGCTCAGTGCAGGTGACGGAAGCTCGGCCCGCTGCGACGGGGGCGGGTCATCTGGTGGTGGGGCCTCCCCCGCGGCGGGGCAACGAGGCT